CCCACCCATCTCTTTTTGGGGCGCAGCTGGAACGGATCGATTCCCACTGTCGCCTCATCAGAAGCTCTGACACACTCTGTTTAGTTCAGCTCTCAACGTGCAGGTTTCGTCTCATTCTGCAGATCTGTGCTTTTTCCCGGCGGCGGGACGCTTTCAGGCGTGCACGTGGCCCCCCCGGTGGCGCCCCCCCCCCCCCCCCCCCATGGCCCCACCCAACCCCGGCGGGCGCCAGCAGCCACAAACCAGCTTGGATTTTCTAATCGGGCCCCGGTGTCTGATCACTCCCTGCAAATTTCCCCACAACTCCTCTTTTATCGCCCCCCACCCATTTCTGCTCTGCCCCACTTCCCACTAACGCACACACAGGCGTGCACGCTCCTGCACGCACACACTCATATGACCATGAACAGTTCATTAAGAATGTGTGCCTTTGGGCTGAAGTCTGCAGCTGAGTATTAGAGGACTTCTTGACTTCAAATGAAATAGCAAAACAGAATTATTTATAGTGTGCGTGCACGCGCGCGTGCTCGTGTGACTGGTGTTGGAGTGCCCTGAAACACAAAACCCCTTCAGCAGAGGAGCACAATTATAAGACAGCCCGCGCGCACGCACACACAGCCTGTCCCCCACAGCCTCTCTATCCGTGGCCGCGCGCGCACGCGCACAGCTCTTACCTTTTTTAATGACAGAGTGGTCCAGGATGCCCAGGGCGGATCCTTCCTCCATTCCCTGAAACACACAGAAACACGGTCACTATCGCTCATCCGCGCGCACACACACGAACACACGCGCGCTCTGAGGCCATGAAACCAACATTTATTTTCCTGTGAACTCACACGAACACAACATATAAAATCTGTTTCTCTGAAAAAAAGCCAGAACCGGACCGGACCAAACCGGAACCTCTTTATGTGCACGTCTCGGCCTAAATACATCAAATCAGTATTTTCTTCCACGTTTAATTTGATCTGAAATTACTGAGAAATCTGATGTGAAACTCCAACGTTTCTGGTTGTTTTTTTCGCAGTTTTAAAGAATTAATTGTTTCTGATTTTAGGGACAAAAGTGTCGCGTGCGCGCGGACGCCTCCTCCTTTGACTTTCTGCCCATTAATCACACGGAGCTGCGCGTCGACAGGGCGCGTTTAACAGACACACGCGCGCGTTTTCTTCCTCTGATGACCGTGCGCATCGATTCGTCTCGGTGCGTTTTGATCCGGCCGCAAACTGCGTCTGCAGCTGCACCTGCTGCGGAGCCTCTGCGCCGAAAAGGAGGAGTTCAGGCCGCGGAGGCATCCGGACGGAGCTCCGGGAAAAAGAGTTCATGTTTTTACCGTTAACCGTTAAAGACTTTATACGCTCAAGTCAAATCTAGAAATTTATTTTGATAACTGAAAATTGACATTTATTTTGATAACTGAAAATATTTCAAATCCACATTTCACAAATTAAAAAATGGATTTCCTTTTATGGAATACATTTAGGAGCTCATTCGTATTTTACAATTGGGAATAAAGGTTTTAATGGTTTTCCTTTTTTCATTCGGATTTTGGAAGATTTTAGGCCCAAATTTAAAAAAGGCCTGCAGGTTTATTTTTATTCTAACTGTTTTAATTATTAGCTGAATAAACAATTAAAGGAATTTAAATGTGTTTAAATTGTCAGAAAAAAACAGATACTGCTGTCTTCAGGTTTAAGTATATTTTCAGTTTTGTAAATTAAACTGCTTTTAGTTCCGTCCATAACCTGCCTTCAGGGCCTGTTTTTAACGCGCATTTTTCTGTTGTATAATTAAAACACAAATGTGATCATTTCAAAGGTTAAAAATGTAATTAGATTAAGGAAAATAATTAACTGATTAATGATGGATAATTAACACATAGAAATAGAGTTGGCAAAAAGGCAAATAAAGTCACCTGGAGGTCCTCCAGGCCGTGGTGGCCCAGGTGCATCCCCAGAGCTCCGTCCCCCAGAGCCGCCGCCCCCTCTCCGAGGCCGTGCAGGAGCCGCGGCACGGCGGGGTATTCTCTGCGGGGGTCCAGGCCCAGCGCCCGGTGAGACTGAGACAGCAGCCCCCCCTCCTCGGAGCGCGACCTCTGCGCGTGCCATGCCGCCTGCTGGTGCTGGTGGATGGAGTTGATGGAGGGGTAGGGGTCCGACAGGTGGGAGTAGGCCGAGTCCTGGCTCTGGGAGTAGGGCAGGGAGGACTGCGGGTACGGCGGGGGGAAGTACGGCGGCTGGAAGTCGGAGGCCGGAGTGTGGCAGAGCGGCGGGGCCGCGGAGTAGGCGGCCTGGTTGAGGGAGGACAGCTGGGAGAGGCGCCCCCCCGGGGAGGAGCCGCTGAGTCCGTCCGCGCGCTCCTGCACACAAGCAAAGGCCTTCAGACCAGGAGTCCCCAGACCAGGAGTCCTGGACTCAAAGTGTGGTTATTCAGAATCACATTCACATATTAATCAGCCAAAAGAAATAGACAAAAGCAGAAAGTTGAGCGCGTGAGGGCGGACGGAGGCGGCGGAGTCTGAGGGAAGCGCGTGAAGAGATGCGCGCTGACAGCAGCCGCCTGTGGCCCCGCTGCGCGCGCGTCACGGAGGTCAAGGCCGCACGAAGCCGGCAGGTAGCACATGACGGCGTGTCGCTGCAGG